ATAGTTTCAATCTGCAATTAGTTGAATAGATCAATGAGGAAGCAACAGATAAGAAGCTATCAGATAAACAACTTGGAGATACTGAGGATCTACTCTCCATGACTCAAATGCTTAAATATATCATAGAAACAGGACATAAAAGTGAGCTCTGATATTTTAATGGAAACTATCACAAAAAAAGAAGATTCACTGAAGTTGACAACAGATTCCTTCTCTTGATGATTATCTAACGTGGGTTCATGGCAATGTGCTGGTATTTCTTGCAAATATTTGTCACAAGTGATTCCTCTTTCATAAATTTCTCCAAGTGCAATTTGAATGTTGCTTGTGATGTAAAAATCATACTTTCAAAGCTATAATCCTCACCTAGGCAATCTTGAGGGGTAGAAAGGATCAGTAAAAAAAGAGGACATCTCCCAATAGGATGGATCCAAACAGTGGTTTTAACGATGAGCTTAAAGCTATTGTGAGGATGGTGCAGAGATTTTGAGGCTGATGCAGGATTGAGCCGGATTTCCTTCTGTTGGACATAGGGTTTCTGTGTGTCACACTAGCTCTACAGCACCTAACAACAACAACAACATTGGTTTTATAAAGAACACTGGTGATGTAGTGTGTTATGAGTTGGGCTGCTAACTAAAAGCTTGGTAGTTCACATTCACCAGCTACTCTAAGGGAGAAAGGTGGGTAGTCTACTCCCGTAAGGATTTACAGCATCCAAAACCCAATGGGCCCTAAATTGGAAAGGACTTGATGACAGTGAGGTGGTTTTGGTTTTCATCAGTTTTATAAAGAAAACTCTATGAAGATAATTGAAAGAAGACAAGTTACCTGGGTTTGTAGAGGCAAAGGCATAGGTGTTTTGTTTGCACTCTTCTGGCCTGAATAAATATTCTCATCCGAGGGTCAAAATATAGAACAGATGTGTAGGCTCTGAATGATCGTCTCTCTGGAAAACTGAAATAGAAGATACAAAAGTTGTGAAGATGTAAAAGAAGCACTGTGAGCTTATCTTTAAGATGAAAAAATGATATGAATTTAAGGTTACAAAGCTGATGGGAAAGAAGAGATTAAAACTGACAATGGTTTTTGACTTGCTTGGATCCACAACCAGTGCCCTTGGTAACAGTCATCAGATGATCAGGAGTTGCATTACACTGGGAAACTCTGCTGGAGTTTCTTCTGTTGCAGAGACCTCTCCAAAGTCCTGAGTAGCAACAATGTCAGTTTAAAGACTAAGGTGCACCTGATTAAAGTCATAATCTTTCCAATCACCTGTTAGGTATCTAAGAGCTGGATAATGAATAAGCATGACAAGAGAATTGATACCTTTGAGTTGTGTTTATTGAAGAAGAATCCATGGAGTGCCAAAAGAACAAAGAGATATGTCTTAGAGCAAGTGCAATTATAGTGCTCCTTAGAGACAAGGATGGTGAAACATTATCTCATATACTCTGGGCATGTTGTTAGGAAAGGCTATTCCTTGGAAAGAGACATAATGCCTGGAAACATGAAGGGTCAGTAAAAGAGAAAATCCTCAATAAGATGGATTGACACTGAGTCAGAAGTAATAGGTTCCAACATGTCAAAAATGATAAGGATGGTGCAGGTCAGGACGTGGTTCAAATATGCTGTATACGGGGTACCTATGAGTCATATTCAAGTTGATGACTCTTAACAACAACCACCACCACCACCAGAAGCTTCCAAAACTTTTCTTCTAAAATTAGCACATATGTAGCTTATAGTATCACCATCTCCAGCTCATTGTATTTACATACTGTTACGTTTGTTGTTAGAAATTCTAATAGGTAGGTCCAAACAAATTACATTTTGATTAGCAATGAACATCTATGGACCTGTAGTGATTATACGTTGACTCAATGTCAACAATATTTGTTTCCATTTGCTTTCCATTAAAATTGCTCACCTAACAAAAAGTAAACCAAACCAATGAAACAATCTCCTGCTCAAAACCTAACAAAAATAATCTAATCTCACATAAAGGAAAAAATCATTTCTATTAATTCTTTAATAGAAAAGTGAGAGAAGTGAAAGTTTCAGAGAATAAAAGATTCTCAACACAACGGATTGATACGGTGACTGTAACAATGGGCTCAAGCATGTCTTGGATTGTGAGGATGGTGTAGAATTGCTGTGAGTCATAGAGAGAGCTCTGTTGGCCTAATGGATAGAAAATTATTCTACCAAGCCGAAGGTGGGTGGTTTTAATCTGCAGCCCTCAGGCCTGGTTTTAATTGTTTTTGTTCAAACATTCTTCTAAATGGTACAGCACAGGTCTGTTAATTTGTTGTACAGAGGTAACTTGTGGTTGCTGTGATGTTATACACTGTGACACCAATGAGTCAAATAGGTAATAGTTATCCATGGTGGACAGTGTTTGGTGGATCTCCCAGATTAAAACAGGCTCCAAAGAAAGGGTGGCATCCACTTTTGGAATAGCTTACCTCCGGAAACTCTGTGAACTTAGAGAAATGATGAAAGTTATACAAGTGTTCAGGTCTTTTGTTCATAGGGTCACTCTGAGTTGTCTATGACTTGACGGCACTTAACAGCAACAACATTAAGTTTTTCTAATGGAAAACTATTATTTAACATGTTGCCACACACTTTTTAAATTGACCACCGTGCTTAGAAACCCATTTGTTGTCATTTGTGGCAACATGTTAAATGGTTCATTTATTTTTAAAATTATAAAGTTTAGAAAAATAAAGTTTTATTTTTATCTCATAAGGCCAAAAACTTGCTCTGTATTTATAGAGCTGAGAAAACTAAAAATCAAATTTAAATCTTGACCCACAATTATTGAAAGATAAAACAGTCAATATATTGAATGACCCAGAAAGCATCAAAAGAAGATGGAGAGAATACACAAAATCACTACACCAAAAAGAACTGACTGATACTGAAAAATTTCAGGAAGTACTAGATAAGCAAGAGTCAAAGGTAATGAAGGAGGAAGTGAAAGCTGCATTGAAGGCATTGGCAAAAAATCAGGCCCCAGGAATCAATGAGATACCAATTGAAGTGTTTCAATTAGCAGATGCAGCCCTGGACTCACCAGTCTATGTGAGGAAATTTGGAGGCCAGTGGATTGAAAGAGGTACACATTTGTTTCCATTCCCAAGAAAGGTGATTCACCAGAATGTGGAAACCATCAAACAATATCATTAACATCATATACAATATAAATCATAAAAATATCATAAGCAAAATACCATTGAAAATCATTCAAAAACGACTAGAATAGAACATATACAGGGGACTTCCAGAAGTTCAAGTAGGATTTAAACAAGGCCGTGGCTTCAGGAATAACATTAGTGATGTCAGTTGGATCCTGGCTGAAAGAAAAGAGTATCAGAGGAATGTCTATTTATGCTTTATTGACTGCAAAGGCACTTGCCTGTGTGGATCATAACAAGCTATGGCTAACATTGAAAAGAAACCCAGAGCACTTAATTTTGCTTCTGTGAAACCTATACATAGATCAGGAGGCTTTTGTGCAAACAGAGCAAGGGAACTTTGACTGATTAAAATTAAGAATGGAATGTGTCAGAGTTGTATTCTCTCTCTACATCTATTCAATCTCTACAATGAGCAAATTATTCGAGAAGCTGGACTCTTATAAAGAGGAATATGGCATCAGGAGTGAGGGAGACTAATAATAACCTATGTTATACAGATGACACAACCTTGCTTGCTTAAAGTGAGGAGAACTTGAAACACTTGTTGCAGAAGATCAAACAATTCAGCCTTCAATAGAGATTTCTTCTCAATGTAAAAAAAAAAAAAAGATTTTTACCACTGGACCAATGGGTAACATCATGATAAATGGAGAAAAAAATGAAATTGTCAGTATTTTCGTCTTATTTGGGTCCACAAATAATGCACATGGTACCAACATAAAGGAATTCAGGAGATATGTTGCACTGGGAAAGTTGTAGCTAGGTAACTCTCCAAATTATTGAAGAGCAATGTTGTCAGTTTGAGGACTATGGTGCATCAGATTCAAGTCCTTTTGATCAATTGCTATGTGTCTGAGAGCCGGACAATGAATAAAGATGACAGAAAAATTATTGATGCTTTTGAGCTGTGATGTTGGAGAAGAGTACTGAACATGGACTACAAAAAGAACAAACAAATATGTCTTGGAGAGGTTGAATCCAGAGTGCTCTTTTAAGACAAAGATGATGTTTCACCTTACATTCTTTGGGCATATTGCTAGGAGGGGCTATTCCTGGTAGAGCAACATGATGCTCGGAAGGTTGGTGAAGGTGAAGACCCTTGACCAGGTGGATTGTAATGGTGACTGCTGCAATGGGCCCTAATGTGTCAGGAAGTATAAGGATGGCTCAAGATAAGAAAGGGTTCAGATCTGTTGTTCAGAGGGTTGCTATGGGTCATACGTGACTTAATGGCACCTGAAAACAACAAATTCAATCAAGTAGTGAAATAGGAATTCATGGCCAGCTGAAGAGAAAATGAAAACTAACAAGTAAAACAGAGATGGGAGAAGAAGAAAGCATGTTATTACTTTTGTTATATATTTTGTTATATATTGTTAAGTTAGAACAAACTCATAGGTCCAGCAGATTTTCAGTGGCAGTAAATTGTACAAGAGGAGACTGATCATGTTTTTTTGATTATGTAGTTAGTTGGTGGATTCAAACCATGTGCCTTTGAGATGGCCGTATGACTCCTTACCATTAGTCCACCATAGCACTAATGGATGAGAAAGCAATAAAATGGGAATAGAAACAATGAAATGGACTGTGGAAAAACTGCCATTTTAAAACATTTTAAAAATATAATTGTGAACTCTCTACAGTGCTATATACCAACAATTCCAGGGATACTTCTTACTAATACCTATTCAAGAACTAAAAATTCCTTTCAACTAGATAAGAGAAAATAAGGTCACCACCAAGTGGTGCTCTTTTCTACTGCCTCAGAAAAGACTCCAGGATTTAGAGAACAGAGATTAGGAGACCCAAGTGTTTTATAGTTGTACCTCAATTGGAAGACATCATGCTTTTTAAAGGTGGCAGGTCAACATAAGAGAGGAAAACCCTCAACAGGATGAACTGGCATGGTGACTGTAGCAATGGGCTCAAGAATGTCAAAGATAGTGAGGATGGAAAAGGGGAGGGGAGGTTTCAGATTCACTGTTCTTAGGCTGACTATGAGTCAAAGCCAACTCTACAGCACATAATAACAATCTTAGTTTCGAGTCAGCAAAGTATAATAGGAAGGAATTCTAAGATCTAAAGGGATTCCACCACAGGGACGTACCATTTCTAGGTCCTTAGAGGGTAAAAGGTAGGCTTCCAGGGAAGTTATAAGAATGAGGATGCAGAGAGAACATAGAAAGACTTTTCACAGAGGAAGACATTCAGATAGCTAACATACACATGAAAAAATTTGCAAAATCACTGGCAATAAGAAAGGTATAAATCAAAACTACCATGAGATACCATCTCATCCCAATAGCAGTGGTAAAGTTCAGTAGCAGTTGTTGTTGTTGATTGCCTTCAAGTCGAACACAACTCATAGCAACCCTATGTACAAAAGACCTGAGGCCTTTCTATATTTATCGACATTTATCTAAATTCATAGAGTTTCCAGAATCATGTTGTTTAGGAAGTGGATGCCAGCAGGGGAGCAAGCAATAAATACTGGAGAGGATTTGGAAAGGTGGGAACTCTCATACACTGTTGGTGGGATTTTACAATGCTACAACCACTCAGGAAGGCAGTTTGCCATTTCCTCAAAAAGTTGGGCATAGAAATCCCTTATGACCCAGCTATTCCACTACTAAGAATATACCCTAAGAAAATTAGAACTGACACACAGAGATTTGTACACTGATGATCACAACAGTGTTATTCATCACTGCAAGAACTTGTAAACAGCCCACACGTCAAACCACAGCTGAA